ACAGACGTTTCGGGTTCAATCGTACTCCTTGAGTAATTTCTTCAGTTTGTTCCCCGCTTAAATGATGCGTTTCAAATGTTTCCATCCAAGTGTCAACCACTTGTATGAATTCATTTATTTTTCATTTGGCCGGTTGTTTTCGATTTCTTCTTCGTCTTCATCCTTCGGGGTAATGAAGAAATAGAAGACGATAAAGATATCTTAAACGAAGGAAAGTTCACACTTTCAGTCGACGTGAAAGAAAGAGGAGCGCTTTCCTTTGTATTTTCTTTCTGGTTCATTGAAGAAAAAAACGCTGATCGAACGTTTTGTTAGTGTTTCAGTTTCTTTCTTATTTTTCGGAGTATTTTTTTGTTTGTTTCGCTTCTATTTTTTTCTTTCTTTCTCTCACTCTTCGTTTACATCGTTCCATAAAAACAAAACAAAACAAAAATATATAAGACCAATTCCTTTGTTTTCCTCCGCACGGGTATTTTTTTTTTTCTTTCTTTCTTTCTTGCTTGGATAAAAACTTAGTAATAGAATTCTGACAATAATAGCGAATTGTTTAAAAATTTTTGTTCACTAGAATATCTTCTTTCGATCTTTTCAAAACGTGGGATCGATAGTTCGATATTGTCTGAGAAAAAACTCTCTTTTGTTTCACAGATGTACAAAAGAATGTTGGACAGTTCAAACGTCTTCATCCTCATCATGCTCTTTTAAGGTGGGCATAACAGGTGATTTCGGAATTTGAGACACAAGTTCTGGTACTACGGACAATTTAGCCAGACAGCACCTGCTGTTTTTGTGAACACTACGGGCGAGTACCCTGACCCATTCTTCGCATTCACGCTCACTGTGAGCCTCGAAGACAATCGTACAACCTTCGCTATTGTTGGGAATGATCACAAAACGTTGACTGTTTTCAGTGTCTTTTGTCACGACACATTTCTTAACTCGAATAAAGGCTGATGCATTACAGAATTTTTTGTCTCTGTACACGACGGCAAAGGGTTCGAACCCACTCCAATAGACCTTCACGTAGACGGGCAGGTGTTTGTCTGATCCGAGAATTAGGCTCAAATGACCACATTTCACAGCCGACCCTTGTTCACTCGTTAAAGGCATGTTTTCGTCGACTGTCGACATAGAAGCATGCAGAGCATCAATACAAGCGAATCCCTTCATAGTGATTTCTTGTGTAATTTTTGTTGTTTTATTTTTATTTATTTTTTGCAGGGTAGCAAAAGTCCCAGACAATTTTAGAATATGTTTTTAAAAATGTTAGAGCTGATTTAAAAATGTTTTTTTTTTCAGTTGCTTAAAAAAATGGAAAGGCTGACAACAGAACTGTAAATTGGAAACAAAAGATTTCTTTTAAAATTTGACAGCCTTATCCAATGTCAATGAGTTCAAAAAAAGCAAATTACAGCTTCTTTAGCTGTGTAGCAGAAAAGAAATCCTTGGATAAGTAATTCCTGATACTTTTTTTTTTCCTATACTGGTTGTTTTCTCGTGACGATGTTCGGTAGTTGTACGGTAAGCAGCAAACAACCCTCAACACATGGGCATAAAAGTCAAAGGCAGCGTGCGAGACACGTCTCTACAGAACAGGATCGTATCGACAGCGTCAGTCAGTATTCTTCTAGAAAGCAGTTGGACTAACAGATGTCTACTCGTTCATCACTTGATAAAAAACGAAGTGCTACTATCAGTGACGAGATGAACAATAACTAGCGTGGCGTAGATTTCCCCGCTTTATATAAAGTCGAACCGCCACATCGGCTGAGCTCATTAGCTATGCAAAAGATAGAGGTCAACCTCGATCTGGTATTTCATAGCGAGGAACGTTCCCAATGTCTATAAATGGACGACGCGTGGTGCTATCACAGTGGTGCGCGTGACGAGCCCGCATTATTATTAGTAGTACTACTACTACTACTAGTACTGATGCTACTACTATCATCGTTATTATTATTATTATTAGTAGTATATGATGGGGTTCTAGGTCGAACACACAGACACACGGTGAGAGAGAGAGAGAGAGAGAGAGAGAGAGACAAGAGGTGGGAGGTGAGAGGGTTAGAGTAAAGAAGTGCGATGCTCAATTTATTCGTCCGATTGCAACGTTTCACCTTCGTTCATTCTTTTCGTTACGAAATGAAGAAATTTACTAGGCAGTCGACTGAATGGTAGCGAGATGGAAGATGCACACACGCAACATAAAGACACATACACACACACACACACACACACAGACACAAGCGCATGCACACACGCACACAACAGTTTAGAGACATGCGGTTTTATGCAAATGTGTGTGCGCAAATTAATGTTTATTGTAAATAAATGTTAAAAGCTCTCATGCAAAAAATCTATCCATCATCTCAATATCTTTCTATCTATCTAAACCAGTCGATTAATATCTGTCAGTCTATCTGTTTATCTTTCTCTGCCTACACACACACACACACACACACACATACATACATACACACACACACACACACACGTCTGTACGGTGGGCTATAATTTTTATCGGTTAATTAATATTTCTTATCACTCTAATAACGGAATTTTAGTGGAAACACATGCGTCCACAACAAAGGTAAAACACAGGTTCGAACCCTACCGGAGAGTATATTTCCTTTAAGTTTCTCAAGCACGCACGCCTGTACAGGCAATCCATACATTAAAAAAAAAGGGCGTCTATTTAAACAAGGTATATCCACTAAAATAGAGCAATAAGAAGTACGTAGACTTGCTTTGAATTTTACATTAAAGTGTGAATCTGACAGTCATCATGCAGTTTTGATTTCTATGTCCACGCTGCCTATACCTCTCTCTTCTTCTGTATGTATGTCTATATATAAAGTGAGTACTGAGGCTAATGCAGGATTGCGTTCAAGCATGAAACAGACAGTCGCCATTCGGTGTTGATATTAGTGTTCACTTTTATATTAACATACGCTCTATTGATTACTTTTACCCATAAATATACCATACTTTAAAATTATATTTTTTTGATTTGAAAGTATAATATATATATATATATATATATATATATATATATATATATATATATATATATATATATATATATATATATAGTGCTGTTCGATAAAAGTGACTCACCTGATTTTTTTTTTTTACTAAATGTTCTCTTCACCGATGAAACGAAAGTTGAGCTAAATTCAAAGGATAAGCAATCTAAAATCCGAAGAAGAAGCTTTGAAAGTTCTTTGAATTTAGCAGTAAAAACTGTCAAGCATCCATTCAGTATAATGTTCTGGGGATGCTTTTCTTTTCATGGAACTGGATTCTTAAATAAAACCTATTGAAAAGACCCTCAGGAGCGAGCAGTACAAGAGAATTTTACTGTCTTGTCTGCTCGCTTCTGCTGAAAGGGTGCAAATCGACCCCACCAAGCTCATTTTTATGCAGGATAATGCTCCCTGTGACAAATCAAAATTGATGAAGGAATACTTTGATGAGAAGCAGGTAAGTTGAATGACATGGGCGCCCCAATCTCCTGGCCTCAACCCCATAGAAAACTTATGGAGCATGCTGCTCAACTACTTTCTCGAGAGCCTGTACTTTATAATGATCCATGTGTATGTTTTAGAATTTTAGGGATGTTATATTTTCTGGACACAGATAGCATATTGTACTTATGTTCGTAGTTAATATCATTAAGTGTTAGCCTTTTCTTTTTTATTATTAAGGCTTCCATTATTTTAAATCTTTTTTTTTACATGCCAATAAGGTTATTATGCTTGTATTTTTTACTAGTATGTTTCTGATGGAGTCTGGTAAGTTTGTGTGTGTGTTTAAATCGATTCTAATAGAGCTGTGGTCAGATAGGTGCAACGTAAGGCGTCTGGATAGGCACGTAGTCGTGTGACCGATGTAATTATTTATGAATTCGGTTCGATCACACACACACACACACACATATATATATATATATATATATATATATATATATATATATATATATATATATATATATATATATATAGGGTGCAATGAATAAATTGGCGTCAAAATTACGCAAAATGAAAATAACACTGGTATCTCATTTTAACAGATATATTTACCAAAATTACACAAAAATATCTTGAAATATTAAAGCGTAAATTTATTCAATAAAATCGCCATTGGCTTCAAGCACGGCCTCCAGAAGACTTCGGAATCTCCTGCAACTCTTCTGGACGGTCTCCTCGTTTAAATTGATGAATGCTACCATAACCCTTGCCTTCAGTTCATTTTTGGTGATACAATTAGTTTTGACAGTCTCTCGCTCAACTGCGCCCCACACAGTAATCAAGGGGGTTGCTGTCTGGAGAGTTATGTAGCCAGATGTAAGGCATGATGTGGTCGCAGAAATTGACTAACAGCCATGACTGGGTTCTCTTGCTTGTGTGTCATGGTGCAGATTGCCGTTACCAGACATAGGGTCACAAGCTCTTTTGACCCAGGGAAGCGCTACCTCCTCAATGCATTTGGCGTAGGACTCCGTGTTGAGCCTGAAGCCCTGTGGGTAGATGAATGGAGGCATAACGCCGGCATTACTAGTGATCACTCCAAACACTTTCGTAATCATCATTAGACTCATCGAACTCTTTCCGAATCCTCAGATTGTCATCCAAACACCCTGAAATATTGGAGTATTGGCGCTTTCGGTGCGAATGCTAAGTAGTACAGCATGCCGTCTTTAAATTTCTGGCGGTGTAAATTGCGTCATGATGTTCTTTTTCGCAGAGATGGTGCCCAACTGACCCTACTTTAATCTGAAGTCAATAAAATCAAAAGCAAACAACGTGCATGAACAAAATTACAAATTGTGAGGCGATTACACATGGCCACGAACAAGGCGTACTGGGACATTTTAAAAGTACATTTTTTTTTCAATAAAATCTACCCCATATAATTTAGATTCATTATATATATATATAAAGAAAGAAAGAAAGTGTGGAAGGATGGATGAAAGAAAGAAAGAAAGAAAGGGTGGAAGGATGGATGAAAGAAAGAAAGCTCTTTCTTTCTTTCATCCATCCTTCCACCCTTTCTTTCTTTCTTTTCTTTCTTTCTTTCTTTCTTTCTTTCTTTCTTTCTTTCTTTCATCCATCCATCCTTCCACCCCTTTCTTTTCTTTTTTTCTTTCTTTTCTTTCTTTCTTTCTTTCTTTTTCCTTCCTTTCTTTCTTTCTTTCTTTTTCTTTCTTTCTTTCTTTCTTTCTTTTCTTTCTTTCTTTCTTTCTTTCTTTCTTTCATCCATCCATCCTTCCACCCTTTCTTTCTTTCTTTCTTTCTTTCTTTCTTTCTTTCTTTCTTTCTTTCTTTCTTCCACCCTTTCTTTCTTTCTTTATATATATATATAATGAATCTAAATTAAAGCTTTCTTTCTTTCATCCATCCTTCCACCCCTTTCTTTCTTTCTTTTCTTTCTTTTTCTTTCTTTCTTTTCTTTTTCATTTCTTTTCTTTCTTTCTTTCTTTCTTTTCATTTCTTTCTTTCTTTTTTTTCTTTCTTTCTTTCTTTCTTTCTTTCTTTCATCCATCCTTCCACCCTTTCTTTCTTTCTTTCTTTCTTTCTTTCTTTCTTTCTTTCTTTCTTTCTTTCTTCCATCTATCCTACCATTTTTTCTTTTTTGATGGATCCTTTATTTCTTTCTTTGTTCTAACCATCAATCCATTCTTTCTTTCATCCATCCTTCCACCCTTTCTTTCTTTCTTTCTTTCTTTCTTTCTTTCTTTCTTTCTTTCTTTCTTTCACTTACGTGCTAATACTCTTGCGAAAGGTATGAATCTTATTCTTCTCTCCCCCCCCAGCTAGGGGTAAATAGCAATACAAAACGGGTTCTATAAACTTGGATAGCAATTGGTCTACTGCAGAAAGAAATGACAACCTGCTGGGAGAAAAGATCTGCCTCGTCAGTCATGTATCGAAAGATACATGATCGCCTACAGTAAGATATATAATCCGGTGTTCTTTTAGATATTTTTATTTTTACAAAATAGTGCTCAATGTACCATATATTAAATCAATTAATTTATAATATATATATATATATATATATATATATATATATATATATATATATATATATATATAAATCTTACATTTGCTCTCTGTATATTTGTGCGCGTGTGTCTAATCATATCTATCTATCTATCTATCTATCTATCTATCTATCTATATATATATATATATATATATATATATATATTATCCATATTCGTATCTCTCTTTGCTTTCGCGCGCACACACACACACACATATATATATATATATATATATATATATATATATATATATATATATATGCCCATATCTTTCTATCCCACCGAATTTTCTGTCCACAATTCCACCCCAGGAACGCATTCGTCAGTCACACATAACTCGCGGGAATTCACTGCCCACACGTAGAACGCCACCGTGTCTTGTTATACTGTGTATGTGTGTTCGACTACATTTCTCTTGTACTTGTAAATAAGATCTCGTTTTGTAATTGCACACCCATCACCAGAATTAACGATACTTGCTCGTGCCCAAGTTTTCGCATCCACACTCACACTCTCTCTCTCTCACTCTCTCACTCACTATCTCTCAATCTACAACTCTCCCTCTTTTTCACTCTCTCTCTCACTCGATCTCTCATATATATATGTGTGTGTGTATGTATATAAATCTATCTATCTATCTATCTATCTATCTATCTATCTATCTATCTATCTATCTATATATCTCTCTCTCTTTCTCTCTCTCTCTATATATATATATATATATATATATATATATATATATATATAGTGAGAGATAGATAGATAGGTAGATATAGACAGACAGATATGAACAGACACACGTGCTCATATATACAGAGAAAAAAAAAAAAAATATATATATATATATATATTTGCTATATTCATAATAAATTTTGTTGTGTATTGATTGGTTACTTTTGATATAGAAGACATCGAGAATTTGAAGGTATTGCTTATTATTTTCATGGTATCGTCTATTGATGTTGTCAACAAGTATTTTTCAGTATTGTGAAGGTAGCCAGGAATGTGCCTTTTAATGTTGTGGTCTCGGCAATTCTCAAGACACACACACTCACTCTCTCTCTCTCTCTCTCTCTCTCTATATATATATATATATATATATATATGTGTGTGTGTGTATATGTGTGTGTGTGTGTTTGCTTAAAGACGACAGACAAGGTATTTCGATTAAGATTTTTATTCAATTTTTCTCATGTTCCAACAAGTATTTTCTTTTTTAGACACAGAAAAAAAGGTTAAAACAAAATTTTAAAAAGTTTTAAAATAATGGAAGCCTTAATAATAAAAACAAAAAAAAACAACACTTAATGTTAACTACGAACTCGACTACAATGTGCTGTGTTAGGAAAATAAAAGATCACACTAAAGACATACACATAGCACACACACACACAATTAAATTGAATAAATCCATGATGAAAGGCATGAAACCACTTCTTGTATTCTTTATATGTAATAAATGAAGAAGAATGACATTTTAATTATCATCAAAGAAACTGAAATCAGTCAAAGAGCTCAAATCCTAATTGAACTTGGGCAAGGCACAAAACCATCTATCCCTGCATTATATATATGTAATTAATAAAGTCAGTTTAATGATCATAATCAAAGAAATTGGAATCAGCAGTTGAGTTCAAATTCTCGTTGAAGCTGCTTGTATTCACTTAACACTATTTTCCTTGGGCAAGATATGAAAACACCTTTCCCTGTATTGTATTTATGTAATAAATGAAGCCATTTCAATAATCATTATATATCTTTCTGATTTTCACTGAAATTATTCGTTCAATATTGTTAGTTTTTCTATTACAGTCAACTTCAAGATTTGATGAAATATTCGGATTTTTATTCAGAGGTATCCTGCCTTATCACTTCGTCTTTGCTGATAATCAATGTTAATTCAATGGATTTTATTTTATATTTTGTCCCTGCAGCCTAATTCCTGAGATTACTATCTTGTAGTCGTCGGAATTTCTTTCGCCCAAACACCAAAGTGATTTTTTTCTCTCTTTCAATTGCGCTGTCTCTCAATTTATATTCATCAAAAGAGTTATTGTCCTGGCTCTCATAATCAGTTTAGGATGAAAAGCCTATCGAAAAAAAAAAATCAGATACAATAGAACAAGCAGACATTCAACAGTGTTTAATACAATGTGATAGACATTTACATAAATCCATCAGCGAAACATGAATTATTGTCAATCTGTTACTTTACAGCTTCGACTCGATTTCGAGTAATGCCAACGTCTGATTCATGGATAGAGCGGATATGGCTTTTGTCCTGCTAGGGTCTTACATTCTTTGGCACAGATGTGGCAATGTTGGTTACCTTATGCATTAGTTGTTACATTCAGGGCTGTTGCGTACTACCCAGAAACCTCCGACTGGGGGTGGGCAAAGACTGACTGGGGGCCTCGGGCATTGCTTTGTGACCCTCGTTAACTTATCAACATTTGCTTTTTTCTTTTTACATTTATATACGTTACAAATTAAACTAAGCAGAAATATTAAAGGATGAAGAATTTTCGTGGATTTTGACGTCATTATGGCGTCTTTTTTTTATTCAAATCCGGGAATTTTTTTCCTCATGCTAAGTCTCGAAAAAAATATTATTTAAAATTCATTATTCTTCTTGAGAGTGTTAAAATTATTCTTAGCCAGAAAAATTTCAAGTTGATGTTAAAAATTGCCTAAAAACATTGTTGATTTATTTAAGATGAAATGATCTATTATGACATGTCTCTTAATTTTTGTTTAGATACATTGTATTTAGCATTAATACTATCCTTTGAAAATTGAGATGTAGCGGAGACCCCGTATAATAGATTTGGGGAGGGGGGCATTTATGAACTCTTGTTTCATATTCATCTTTTGATCTTAAACCCAACTGACTTCCGTGAACAGCAAAAACAAAGGACTTGTCGTTCCAATACTTTTTGAGGACTATATATATATATATATATATATATATATATATATATAAAGTGAACATTGAAGTCAACACTCAGAGGTGACATGAGGTTTCATGCTAGGCGCAATCGTCAGGCCGCCTAGCGATTGCGCCTAGCATGAAACAGCCTGTCGGCTCTGAGTGTTGTCTTCAATGTTCACTTTATATTCATATTTACATACGCTCTATCTCTGATATTGAGCACTTTATCCCATAAATATAGCACGCCTTAAAAACTATATTTTTCATATATATATATATATATATATATATATATATATATATATATATATATATATATATATATAAACCGGACACTTAGAACCGTCTTGGTCACTTTCTAATCAAGTGCAAGTTGCCTCGTTTACATTATCATCATCGAAGAAGCTCTGTACTCAAAATGAGACCTCTCGGGTGACAACCAGTGTTTGCACCTTTGTAGAGTTTGTTCATATTATCGACACCTATTTTGCACAGGCCTTTAAGTAGAGGAATAGATTGCACTGGAACATCAGCCTTTGTGGCTTTATCTTCATTTGCACAAGCAGCTGACCCACTACTGAAAGCCTGTCATTGAGATCAATTTCTCCTTTCTCTATAGAACGGCCATTAAACTCTTCTGACACAACTTTTCCAGAAAAGTTAGCTTAAAACACTTTGAATGTTGGTCGTAATCTCTCCTTCCCCAAACAAAATTTGATATTAATGTCAGTAAAAATAGATCTATTTGGGAAGGATGTTAGAATAAAACCACAATTTATACTTTTAGCAAACCGCCTGAATGTGGATATAAACAGATTTGAGTAGGTACACGAAAAATTGAGAGAGGCGTAAAATGAAAATATGTTTACTCACCGAATTTATTCAAATTAGGCAGCCAGCAAAGGGAGGTAGGTAGGGTCTCCAGCTCCCTTACCTGGATTTATGATCGGTGGGCATATTAGTAACAATATAAGATCCGCAGACGACATTATGACCACGGCAGATGCGAAAGGAAAATTACAGGACCTCCTAGACAACGTAGCAAAGGAAAGCAAGAAGAAAGGACTAAACATCAGCTGTTAGAAGACATAATGAACTGTTATCAGCAAGAGACAAAGCTCAAGATACGAACTAAGCATTGGAGATGTCAACATCAGACAAGCACATAAGTTTAAATCATTGAATAATGTTTTAACAACGGGTGGAAAATGCGGCACCGAAATCCGAAGGAGCATTGGAATAGCAAAGACGCATTCCAAAAGCGAAGCAAATTATTAAGAAACAGGCAAACAAATAAAAGAGTGATGGATTACTTTGTAATATCAATCCACTTCTATATCAGTGAATGTTGGACAGCCTCGACACGGACGAGGAGAAAACTGGAGGTAGTAGAAATGTTGTGCTACAGAATCATGCTGTGAATATCCTGGACGGGGCACAAAAGCAAAGAAGTTTAAAACAAAATAGAAACAAAAAGATCACTTATAATCAGTTATAGCTGAAACCATTTTGGACACATAATAAAGGAATGAGCGCCTGAAGAATTTGACACTCATGGAACATATCAAATGTAAAAGCGACAGAAGAAAACAGTGGGCCATCTACTTGATAAGCTAGTGTGAATGGATAGCAAAACTATATTTGAGAGGCTTGACAAAGAGGTCAAAGGTTGCAACAAACAAACAATGACAACAGTATACAAAACAGGAAACATAATATACACAAATAATAATAATGTTATGGTCCAGGTTAGGACCAAGGAAGAACAACACAAACACAAGAGTAGAAATAACGAAGGTATATTACACGAAATGATAATACAAGATGTAGAAGGTGTTAGTATGACTGTCAGTCTGGTTTGGAGTGAACGACTATCGGCTCGACTCCATTCGACCCTCTTTCTTGAGAGGCGTAGTATACATAGTGCTAGGAAGAGTTCATTCTGTAGTTATAGGTAAGGACCAATGACGAATAATAATAATAATAATAATAATAATAATAATAATAATAGAATATTGAGGAGAGTCCAATACTTTTGTTGAGGAATCCCAATATAGAAATAATCTCAACCTTATCAGAGAATTGAAAACATTGTGAAACATGAAGGAGACAGTAGTACCTATGATTATTGGTTCACTTGGAACAGCTGGAATGTCTGTTTTTTTTTGTTTTGTTTTGTTTTTCTCTTACCATTTGGTTGACAGAATATAATTCCTTGGCTCGCATATGATTGTTTTGACATTGCCGCCGAGAAAATTCAAAAAAATAGTTTCGCTTGAAGATCATCAACATCAATAAAGAGAATGAAAGATTTTTCTTCATTTTGCTCATTTACTCTGATAATGAAGGGGAGAGAAAATATTTACATTCACCATTCGTTTTTAAGACACGGACGATCTACCAACAGATGAATATAAATAGACTATGATAGATAGATAGATAGATAGAAAGAGAGGAAGAGATAGACGGACAGATAGGTAGATAGATGGAAATGAACAGTTTGTGAATATGATAAAAAGACAAATATGAACACACAGAGAGAGAAAGAGAGAGAGAGAGAGAGAGAGACTGGCAAATTGATAAATAGAAATGGACAGTTTGTGAATGAATAGAAACGTACATATGAACAGACATAGAGAGAGAGGCGGGCATATATATATATATATATATATATATATATATATATATATATATATAGATAGATAGATAGATAGATAGATAGATAGATAGAAATGAACAGTTTGTGAATGAATAGATAGATATGGACAAAGAGAGAAACGGGAAGATAGATAGATAGATAGAGAGAGAGAGAGAGAGAGAGAGAGAGAAATGAACAATTTGTGAATGAATAGGTAGATATGGACATAGAGAGAAACGGGAAGATAGATAGATAGATAGATAGATAGATAGATAGATAGATAGATAGATATGAACAGTTTGAAAGTAGAAAGTAAGGTAGAAAGTAAGAGAGAGAGAGAGAGAGAGACGGGTAGATAGATAGATAGATAAATAGATAGATATAACAGAGAGATTGTGAAGAAAGCGAGATGAAAACAGAAAGAGATAATGAACAGACTGAGATTGACAGAAATCGGTTGCTTGATCGATTCCCAGCTGTGACATCCGACTATATGATAAAAGTATTTTCCATTCAGTCCACTGCCATTGTCTTGTATGACGTTAGAAAATCCGCACGTTTACCAACACACGGTGTTAGCGGGAGAAAATTCAATAATATTGCCAACTCAAGTCAAGATTAATAAGTAACATTATGCAGATATGATTCACTACCTTCTTCATTTGCACTTACCCTCGCCATTTTCTTTTCGTCATGGCATTCGATTTTTCTTTCTTTCTTTCTTTCTTTCTTTCGTTTTTCTTTATTTTATTTTTCTTTCTTTCTTTCTTTCTTTCTTTCTTTCTTTCTTTCTTTCTTCTTCTCTAAAAAACAGAAAGAAACAATAAGCGGAGGATGGAAAGAATAATAGAATGAATGACAAAAGAGACGGTAGTAAAAGAAAGAAAGAAGATAGAAAGAAAGAAGAAAACGAAGAGAAAAGATGAAAGAAGAAAAGAATAAGTAAAAGTATGGAAGAAAGAAAAGAAGAGGTGAAGAGAGAGACAATCGAAATTACGAACAGAAAGAAAGAAAGAAAGAAAGAAAGAAAGAGTGGAACGAAGATAAGAGACAAAAGAAGGAAAGAACAAATAAACGTATGAAAGAAAGAAAAGAAAAGGTGAAGAGAGAGAGAGAGAGAGAGACGGAGGGAGAAAGAGTGAGTGAGTAATGACAACCGAAATTACGAACAGAAAGAAAGTCAAAAGAAAGAAAGGAAGATAGAATGGAACGAAGAGAAAAGACGAAAGATGAAAGAACGAATAAAAATATGAAAGAAAGAAAGAAAGAGGTGTACAGAGAGAGTAATTACAAACAGAAAGAAGAAAAATTAAAGTTAATCAAAAAAACAGAATAAAAAAAAAAGAAATGTAACAAATCTTATATTTATTCCTGTTCAAATGCCTCCATTTTCCTCCACCTTCCTGTAATGTTCAGCCCACAACCCTCTTCATAACACACATGAAGAAATAAATAAGAAAGTTAATGTTTGCTCGGTGGGTAGCTCAACTAGTTTCATTTCCTGTGAAGCCATTGAAACAAATTCGTGGCCGGCGCTTTCTTTTTCATGTCCTCATGCGACTGCTACAAGTTTTGTGACCCAACCAGTCGCAAACGTTTATGAGGTTCTTTTGCTAACACGTCAAATAACAATTACAATGTCGACATTAATTTTGCATTGAAGGTGTGTTGTTCGTTGCTCATCCAGTAAAGCCATAGCTGCACTTCGAGAGTCAGGCGGACGTCTTGGCCACAGATCTAGATTAGAACGACATGCATTTCAAATCGCCAATTCTGACATTGGGACACGGTTTCGAATCTCACCATAGTTGATTTGTCAGGAAGGTAACTGCTTGATTTTATCGAGGAGATGATCTTAGCGTACGGCAACTTTGGAAAGTGCCCGAAAAACATACCATGGTTTTACCCAAACCCTGTTAATAATACTGGGTCGACGGAATCCTTTGGAGCCGTCGGTGGCTGTGCTAGCACAAAGTCACAAGTCATCATGACCGAGGGTTTGAAGGTGCTGGCCTTGTACAGGCTGATGATCGCGCTAGATAACGCGGTCTGTTCCAGAAAGTGTTAACTAAGGTCCGCTTAGCCAAAGGTGGGCTCTGTGGGTGTTAAAGAAACACAAATAGGCCTAAGTAGGCATCTGCAACAGGGATTAGTTAGCCGCGTTAGTAAATCCATCCATCATATATATATATATATATATATATATATATATATATATATATATGTGTGTGTGTGTGTGTGTGTGCGTGTGTGCAGCTATGTAGAAAATAGGAAAGAACATGTTAGCTAAATAATCCAGAGTTCTTTACTATTTTTGTTTTTATTTTAAAAAAAAACAGTGCTCCATACAGAAGTAGAGCTTAAATTATAATTATTAAAAAAAAATGATTCCTTCGCTACATAAAAGTTCTCATGTTTCAAAAACGAGAGCCGAAAAACTCAGTATAATTATTAAAATTAAATTGAGTTAAAGTATGAAGCCCCGTTTCATCCTCAAGCGAAAATTTAGGTTCCTAAATTTTCGCTTGAGGATGAAACAGTTTTTCGGCTCTCGTTTTTGAAACATGAGAACTTTTATGTAGCGAAGGAATCATTTTTTTAAAAAAATAATTATATATAGAGTCGACTCTCCCGTCGAATTCGACGTGTGAGGGTCAAGCAGATCAGTTTCTAGGAAACCGACAGCCCGACAACGACACATGAGATTTGATTATAGTGATGAAGGTTTCGTGCAGGACCATTCACACTTTTTGAAGGGACGAATACAGAGACCTGGTGCACTAAGTACCACAAGGTTCCCAAACGACCCTCCGCAGATTTTGAATTCAGAGTTGTCCTTCTCCTAGACCTAGTTGCCATCCAAGGCTATAGAACCCAGTCTGTCCTGCTATTTTACCCATAGCTGGAGGGAGATGAAGAGGATTTCATACCTTTCCCAAGGGTATTAGCACGTAAGTGAATTTAATGGATTCGACTGGAATTCGAACTCGCCTCTGCGATTCCTCAATCCAAACCGCTATCCATTACTCCACCGTGCATTTTTATCTATAATCCGACATATATATATATTACTTCAGGCGACATTTTTAGTGGATAACCGTATTTGAGTAGACGCTCCGTTTATTTTAAACTGTATTACATTTCTTCTAACGGAGCGTCTATTGAAATACGGGCGCCAATCCAAGCTTTATAAAAGACGATTAAACAAAAGAAAGTAAAAAAAGAGAAGAGAATAAAATGAAAAAGGAAAAATAAAGAAAAAAGTAAAAAGAATAGAAAAAGAAAAACGGAAAATACAAGAAAAATAGAAAAGAAGGAAAAGAAAAAAGGTGAAATAGAAAAATAAAAAAATACAAAAGTAAACAAATGTAAAAAATAAACAAAGAAAAGAAAGATAAGAAAAGAAAAAACGGAAAAGAAAAATGAAAATAAAATAAAAGAAACACAATGAATAAAAGAATAAGAAAAAAAAGAGTAAGTGAAAAGCAAGAAAAGAAAATAAATGACTAGAAGAAGAAAGAAAAGAAAGAAAAGAAAAAGAAAGAAAATAAAAAGGAAGAAAAGAAAAAAGAAAAGAAAAAAGGACGAAAAAGAAAGAAAAGAACAACAAAAGAAAGAGAAAAGAAAAAGGAAAGTAAAAAATAAGAAAAAGAAAGAAAAAGAAAAGAAAAAGAAAAGAAAAAAGAAAAGAAAAAGGAAAGAAAAGAAAAAAAAAAGAAAGAAAAAGAAAAGAAAAAAGAAAATAAAGAGAAAAGAAAGAGGAAAGAAAAGAAAAAGGAAGAAAAAGAAAAGAAAAAAGAAAGAAAGAAAAGAAAAGAAAAAAGAAAAGAAGAGAAAAAGAAAGAAAAAAAAAAAGAAAGAAAGAGAAAAAAAAAGAAAAGAAATGAAAAGAAAGAGGAAAGAGAAAAGAAAGAGAAAAGAAAAAGAAAAGAAAAGAAAAAAGAAAGAAGAAAGAGAAAAGAAAAGAAAAAGAAAAAGAAAAAGAAAATAAAGAGAAAAGAAAAAAGAAAAGAAAAAGAAAATAAAAAAGGACGAAAGGAAAGAAAAGAAAAAAGAAAAGAAAGAGAAAAGAAAAAAGAAAGAAAAGAAATATAAAATAAAAAAGGACGAAAGGAAAGAAAAGAAAAAAGAAAAGAAAGAGAAAAGAAAAAAGAAAGAAAAGAAAAAAAAAAAAAGGACGAAAAGGAAAGAAAAGAAAAAGAAAAGAAAGAGAAAAGAAAAAAGAAAGAAAATAAAAATAAAATAAAAAAGGACGAAAGGAAAGAAAAGAAAAAAGAAAAGAAAGAAAAGAAAAAAGAAAAAGAAAGAAAAGAAAAAGGTAAGAAAAATGAAAAATAAAAGAAAATAAATTAAAGGAAAAAGAAGAAAGAAAAAGAACAGAAAAAATAATAATGAAAAGAAAGTTTGTTCCCACTCAAAAAGGAAGGCACGATAGACGGTGATTGTAGAAATGTTTGAAAAAAAATGTCCTTTGAGTCCAGCATTATTTATTAGGTTAGAACAAAAGAAATGACCATTTTGAACTACAACCATAAAAATCTCATAAATCAAATACAACATTCCGAGAAAGTATGCATTATTAGTAGTGGCACAATGTTGCCAGCCATCGGTAATCTATTCAATCTCGACATACAGTTGGTGTCTTACGATATCAACAAACTAACAGAAAGCATTTTTGAATTGGCCCGCTCTGGTCTACACCAGCTAAAGTGTATCTGCATCCGGGTCCCCCAAAAATGTGATAACCAACTGACACGCCCGATGGATTTTAAGGGTAGAGTTCAACCTCGATGCTTTACTTCATTAGTTTTGTGCCGACAGTTTTTGAAATGTGCTTGCATCAAGATAGGCCTCTTTCTATTCAGTGTCAAAATGTTGGCCATCTTAGGCGCATCAGTTTCAAATGACAGGTAAACTTTGATTGACTGAAAAGGTTACAAGACATAGCACATGGTCAAAAGGTTTTTTTTTTTTTTTGTAGAGTGAAGATTTTCTTTTGGAAAGTTTAAGCCGGCGCAACTTTGTTAATCAAAGGAAAGATCATCACAGCTTTTAGTGAATAGTAAACCCACAATTGCTGATGGCAAAATGAAACAAGTACAAAAATTTAAATATCTGGGAAGTGTTTTAAAAGACGACGTAACGTGTGACACTGAAATCCCAAGGTGTCTTGGGATAGCCAGAAATGCATTGCAAAAGCTAAGCAGAGTATTAAGAAACAGAAAAATTGAACCGTTATGTGATATCAATCCTCCTTTATGGCAGTGAATGCAGGACAATCTCCTCAAAGATGAAGAAGAGACTTGAATTAATAGAAATATGGTTATTTATAGTATTTACATTGTTGGGACTATTTTCATTTTTATTGTCATATTCACGACGTTTCGGCCGTTGTACGATCTGGCCTTCATCAGGTGATATACGTTGGAATTTCGAACCGAACCCTTTATTTCGTCCACGGGTGTAGATTGACAATAAAGATAAAGACAGCTGCCCAAACAATGTAAATAGTATAAATAGTGGCAATATCTTATTTTAGAAATGTACAGAGAGAAATGTGGTTCTACAGGTGGATGCTGAGGATACATGGGAACAAGGACGAAGTTATAGATAAAATGGAAGCGAAAATGAAACATATACTTAACATCAGGAAGCGACAGTTAACATTTCTAGGGCACATAATGCGAAAAGGGGAATTGGAAAATCTAATACTCACAGGACAGATTGAAGGAAACACACACACAGAGAGAGAGAGAGAGAGAGAGAGAGAGAGGGGGGGAGCAACTCATATCCTACTTAGAGAGCTTGAGTAAATGGATGACGGAATAAGTTTTAGGAGAGATAACAAAAATATATTTATTAAGAGCTACAAATGAGAGAAAATTGGGGAGAGCCATGATTGCCAAGGTCCTGAAGGGACACGGTACATAGAAGAAGATAGCAAGCAGAAGAGAACTAGCATAAATCAATGCCGATCTAGAAATTATGAACAAATAAAGACATGACTGACCTACAGAACATGCGCAACGGGATGTTGCTAGTTAGATCAGGCAAGCGAAGAAATCGATCGCACTAATGCAACATAAAATAGTCATTTATTTTATTACAATTTAATAAATACTAGCATTACTAACACTTGATACCACAGAAACTGCATATTATAAAAGAAAAGTTGATTCTCTTTCATTCAGACACTGTCTGCATGGGCGTGTGCCATTATATGCGCATGTCCGTACTGTGCGTCAGTGACTTACATGTGTCTGTGCCATTTAATCTATATACAAACATAATAGACTCTGAAATAATACATTCAGCTCCTACGCAGTCTGGGAGATACGTACACTTTTATTTGCTCAATTAAATCATAACGTTAGAAACTAGAAAAAATTACAGTTTAAAAAAAAAAAAAAATCAGATTATTGCTGAGTTTTTCCGAATCAGTAAGAAGAGATCGAAATACGATTTGCAGGTCGAGAACACTGGAATGAAGCAGACGCGGTAGTTTAAATATCTGGGAAGCGTTTTGACAGAGAACGGTAAGTGCGACACTGAGATCCGTAGAAATATTGGGATGGCCACGGCCATATTCCTAATTTTTTTGTGTGGATAATAAACATTTCGCTGTTTCTTATTTTCCTGCTTGTTGGAAATCCTTTTCTGTTGTCCCAATCTTTCAGAACTCGTGCCGTCTATTCCTTCTGACTATCAGAAGCCTATATATTGTCAGCAAACAGCATGCATGCGCATAGAGAACGAGTTCAGCGAATATACAAAAATAGAAAGGGTCGTAAGGCAAGGATGCGTCTTCTCACCGGACCTATTCAACAGATAAAGCGAGGCAATTCTGAGAGAATTGGTAACCCTACCGGGATTTAGCATTGGCGGCCACAATCTTAACAACATAAGATACGCAGATGACACAGTACAGTTTTAGCAGACACAGAAAAGAAATTACAAAATCTCCTATAGAAGGTAGAGACGGAGAGTCTTATTGCCTTGCTTGGGGTGAAATGATTAACAAAAATAAAATAATAACAATTAACAATAAGTTAATTTAAGATTTAAGCTGATTTTATGTTCAAAATTATTAACTGGAAAACATTTCAGTAAAAGGTTATGTTTTTTTTTTAAGTTAAGTAATGTGTCCAGTAATCTGAGTTGTACAATTTATCAAAATTTCTTTTGTCTTGGAATTTGTATCAGAATGTTGCCAAAGCGCCGGTTTAAATTGCGTTCTTCCAATAAGGATGATGAGAACATCATCGATATTTCTGACATTTCAAGCCCTGAGATGCTACAACCAGCAAAGTCAAACAAACCCAAAAAGTAACTATCGTTTGGCGTTTAATCAATCCTGAATTTCAACTTCAGTCACTTTCTCACCGACGTGACGTCTTTTCTATGTCTTTTCTCCATATATTTGCATGGCAATTGTCGCTGATGTTTTAGTGCTTCGACTGCATGAATTTAAGAGTGCTACTATATTAGTTACTAGTTACCGCTGTTTTACTGTTGAACTAGTTAAATGCAACTGCATATTATATTTTTTTCCGCACTTCTCGCCTGTGGAACTCCGGTTTGATTTTTTTTTTGTTTCCCTGCCAACTACAATATTCAACAATTTAAATGCCACACCAACTGTAACAGTCTTCCCGAATACGGTATTTTTTATTTCCCTTTATCTCCACTAAAAACTTCATATTCTTTTTCACTCTTGGTAACCCATTGCGTCATCGTGGCATTATCCTTGAGGTGAAATGAAAATAAAGAAATAAATGTGTGGGTTGTGAGGGCTAATTTTCTTTTCTGTCTGGCAACAACCCCTGGGTAACCGGAAAGATGTATTAGCTGAAATGTTTGACCTTTGGAGTTATTTTCTGACTGCTTTATTTAAACTGAATATAATTTTTTAAAAATGTATTTTAAATGAACAATTTAGATTTGAAATTTGATCATATTGGTGCCCGTGAAGCGACAGATACTGAACTAGTACGTATTAAACAAATACCTTAACATATTTATTACAACCATTGCCTATATCGTGTAAATAAATATATATACAATGGTATACTTATTGATATATAGTTTTTAATTTCAGATATATAATGATTGCCATGATATCACCTTAAAAGAGAAAAGAAATATTTTACACTTACGAAATGATAGCAACGGAACTTTGTAAATTGTGAAAGGAATTAGATAACTATGAAAAATATATTTAAAAACATTGGCACGTATATGAAAAACTTTAAGAATTTCCCAACAAGAAATTGAGAAACATTAAAAGGATGATAAGCAAAAATATATATTTTCCTTGAATGATTTTCATAATATAATGTTACAAATCTAAACAGAGAGAAATGATAACGAACAATTAAGATGGTAATTAAAGACATGAAAACACCAAATTGCAGCCTTTAAGTCCGAATCACAGGCAGAAATGTGCAAATTTGGCGAAGAAGTACATGAAAACCGATTTCTCAGCAAATAAATATAGACGGATGGACATTATGGTTAGGCTAGAGATTGTGTTATTCATATCAATAACTAACTAGAAACGTCTCTATCTCTGAGATGAGGTATTATAATGACTTGCATTATTTACATTATTCGGACTGACTAGACCAAAAGACTTGTGAGTTCAATACCAGGCCACATCAGTTGTGAACGAAAAACTTGACGAGTTGGGTTAAAGGGAAATAACTCAGACATCCGGAAGAGGCATGGCACGTGGAACTAGAACAGTCGACCTCGGTGGACGAAATAACGGGTTCGGTTCGAAATTCCAATCACCCGAAGAAGGCCGGAGCGTACAACGACCGATACGTTGTGAATATGGCGATGAAGATAAGGATAACAGTCCGAATAATGTAAATAATGCAAGTTAATTAGAAACATCACCTCTAATAGGAGTTGACGTGTGGTGACAATATATAAATATATATATATATATATATATATATATATATATATATATATATATACACATATATATATATATATATATATATATATATATATATATATATATATATATATATATATATATATATATATATATATATATATACTGGGTGCTTCCATAGATATACCAAAATAGATTTTTTATTCAATGTCTCACCCGAGCATCAAATGAGACAAGTACATTAAAGGGTTGACGCTGAAGGTGCAATTTCGTCCCTCAGAGTATGGCAGTGGTTTTCAACCACAACAACTTAACACAATTTCGACCCAACTGTGCTTAGGATGCGCACACGTGGGACAAACGGATTTCAAGAATATATAAAGGGTATTCCAATAACTTGGACCGATTTTAAATGTGAATTAAGTTTAAGCGTCTAATGATTTTTTTCTTTTACTTTCAGATTTGGCGGACATTTTGGTGATAATGCATTTCACACATAATTGCCATAATTTAATTAACATGATCCAGCAGAGAAATAAATAAATTTTCACCAATAACAATGATTTTTTTACTGCTGACTTTGATTCATCTTAATGAAACACCCTTATATATAATCCATCTTAATGAAACACCCTTATATATAATCCGTCTTAATGAAACACCCTTTATAAGCATCCGCCCCGAGTAAAAAACAAAAACCAAACTTCTATCACATCCTCACGAGAAGAAGATTCGTGTCTTACAAGTGAGGTGATTATATGTAACTGTAAGTTCTATATTAACAGTTTTTTCTCGCAATTCTCACCTGTGAAACTCGCTTCCGGCTCCAGGCTTTCCAGACAACTTTAATCTGCAAACATTTAAATGCAATGTCAATCGCTATCTACTCTCCTCTTGATTACTCTTCTTTTGTTCTCTCTCCTTAGTGAGGTTCCTGTTTTCTAATTCTTCCACACCCAGTAACCCCTTGTGTCTTAGTGGCTTTACTGCCTTGCTTGGTTTGAACACGATTAAAAAAATCCGCTGTCTCTTAATTGACAAAGTCTGGGGTTAAATAAGCAATGACTATTACGTATGAAAATAGGCACTTCTTAAATAAAGTGATTCCATTCGTAAAAATAGAGAAACGATTTCTATGGGATAAATTTTCAAGTTAACCTTCATTAGATCCTCCTCAAGATACGGTATTTGTCAAGATCGAAAAATGATTTTTTTAAATTTAGAACGGGATCCTGTTCTTAATATAAATCCAATGAAAAACCGATATTTAGAGAGTTATCTGGGCTTTAATATTTTTTTATCTATAAATTTCAAGTTTGAAGCTATGCTGACACGCGCATATTTTTATTAATTTATGTAATTTTTGTTCATTATTTATAATTTGAATATCCGTTTATCCTTTGAAAGGAATCCTTTTGCGAAAGCTGTCAAATACTTTTTCACCTGACAAAGAATTATTTGTTTGAAATATGTGTATATCCATTTGCCTTTTATTCAAAATTGTATATATCTGTTTGTTCCTTAAAAAGAATTTTACAAAAAAAAAAAAAAAAAAAAGGAAAAAGCAATCTATTTCACCAAACAAACAATTGCTATTGCTTGTTTTAAATAAAACACATACATCCGTTTGTTTGTTTTTATTTCAAAGAAAACTTTTTGGAAAATAACTAAATGTCAGTTTTCTTACGTAAACATCAATGACGTAAGCAGAGTTTCAAACTTGACATTTTGAAATAAAAACGTAAAATCCAGATAACTCTGTAAAAATATAAGATCGATTTTACACTATATCGATAATATAAATAGGAACTCCTTTTAAAATGTTTAAAAAACAATGTTTCAATCCTAACAAATGTTAATCAAGGAAAATTAAAACCAAATTTT